GAGAGAGAGAGAGAGAGAGAGAGAGAGAGAGAGAGAGAGAGAGAGAGAGAGAGAGAGAGAGAGAGAGAGCGAGAGCGAGAGCGAGAGCGAGAGCGTTTCACGCGACGATAAGGTAGCAGAATGGCGTAATTAAGGAAACACAAATATATATTACGTTGCGCGATATCATATGGCGTACATTCGGATCGATAAGTGCTACGTTATCCGAAAAAATGTTTACAGACAGATGCGTCGTGATGATACACGGAGAGAATATTACAGTAAAAATTACCTTAAGATCTTATAACCGGAGAATAAATGACATTCTGCAATAATTAGTTGTTCAAATGAACTATTAAAATACTTGTTATATTTCTAGGGAAATTTACTATATTTCTTAGCAAGGTAGACCTTATTGACAATCTATTTCTAGACTATTAAAAACAATAAAATTGAAAAGAATATGAAAAAAATAGAAAACTCTATAATGCGTGTGTTCTCTTCGTGTACATATTCGAATTCCTGCCGACAGTCGAATTGACATTTTACGTAAAACGGCGTAATTGTCCCGCTCCCAAGAGATCTCTCGATTGTTGATCGCGTTAATGAAATTTGCCAATATCGTCGGCTCATCAACGAGCAAGGTCATATTCAATAATGACCGCACGGACCGGTCGTCAGCGGCTAACAGATGGTACACAGGTCCAGGCGCGAAAATCCGGGCTGAATTTCGCGAAACACGCTCGTCTCGCGATCGACCGAGCGACAACCACGACGACGACGACAACAATGCGGGAGAAATGTCGGGGCGACAGGAAGCTCATAATTTCGCGATTGCGTGCGAACATTCCGCAGCTGGTGAACGGGGTCGGGAGTTTGGCGGGGACGGGACGCGGAATTGTCATCGCGCGATTATTGACGCGCGCCCATGATAAAAGCGCGAGCTCGTTCTCGGCACCGATGACTAATGAATAAATGGGGTCTCCGCGGCAGGACCTACCTGATTTTCAATTTATCATCCGCGTGACACCCCTCGGTCCTTCGCACGAGCTGCCAGCGAGCGTTTCTACCGATAGTGACGAGCGACGGTCAACGACGATGACGACGTTCAACGGCGATTCCTGCGTGTGCACGGGACTCCGTCCTGTTCTCGCGCGACTACCAATGGCGGCGACTTTTATATAGGGCGATAGAGGACGGATCGATAGAAACGCGCATGGAACTATCCCGGCGGCAGCAACAAGTAAAAGCGACCGGGGTGTGCCGCGAGATGGAAAGAGAAAGAGAGAGAGAGAGGGTGAGAAAACGCGCATGGGCCGGAAAATTCTACGTGTTCTCGCGTAACGACCTCGGTCAAAATCGCGCTCCTTCTTTGGAAAAAAAAAAAGAGAAAAATTAGACCATTTGAAATATATATATATATATATATATATATATATATATATATATATATATATATATATATATATATATATAATAGAAT